GTTCCCCCAAGTAAACACCCAAATATTTTAAACCACTTTTACCCATTTTAGTTCATCAGGTAATTTGGGTCCCCCTCTTGTCCATTTTCCTACTAACAAAGCCTTACTCTTACTCCAGTTAACCTTGGATGATGACATTTTACATCACATTTATAAAACATCTAAACTTTCTGTTAAAGTAAGGACATTTGACTCAATAATACCATCTGGATAAGCTGAAAAGGTAAAGAAATTTAATTTAGTTTTACTTGATGTAACCTTTTTTTTAATTTGACACAACAAAGGTTCAATATTTACAGTATTAAACATAGTTGACATAACCTTGTCGAATACCTCTTTACATTCAAAGGAGCACTTAAACCACTATTGACCATGGTGGTCAACCATTCAAAACCCTTTCAATGGTACAATAGAGGGTTTTAATCACTGAACCCAGAGGATAAACCAAAAGTCGTCAATTTATCCCAGAGATAATCAATCAACTGCCTTTTCTTGGTCAAGGGAAATCGGGCCAGAGTTTATGTCCAGTAGTTTAGAAATGTCAAAATAATCCCAAATTAGTGGTATGTTAGCTCTTATTGATCTGCCATGGATACATTACGACTGATCAAAATGTGTAACTTTCGTCAATCGCAACCTTTAAGATCTTATAGTCAGCACTTAAGAGACTGATGGTCTCTAATTCTTTATTTCATAAAGATCTCCCTTCTTGGGAAGAAGAGTGAGCACTCTTCAGCAGCTGAGGGGTTGCTTTCCCCTAGCCCACCCTGTCATTGAGAACTTCCAATAGATCTTCAGCCAACATGGACCAGCGTGGTTTATAAAATTCCACAGGCAATCTATTCCTGGAGCTTTACAATTTTCCGTACTCAACAGTAGGGCTGGGCAATATGGCCTAAAATTCATATCGCGATATAATTTGAAGCACGTGCGGTAACGATATATATCACAATATATTCTTTTCTTCTGTATAACGTATTTTCCACACTATAAATTAAAATCCTTTAATTTTCTCAAAAATCGAGATTGTGCCTTATGTATGAATTCTGGTTGTGCTTACTGACCGATTTTGGCGTGCAGAAATCTGTTAAAAAATGTTTTAGTACAACTTTGGTAAGCCGCACTGCCTGATGGATTGTCAGGGCATTACGGCTGCGGTAGTGAGGAGCTTCGCGGAGTAATGTGGGTCCAAAACTCCGTCCACTTCAGGTCCCAAAGTCAAACGAATACTAAGAGTTAAAAACGCTCTGAATTCTTTCATCTTTAATTAAATCATCAGTGTTGCTGCATTACCAGGTGTAACAATTAAGTTTTACATCCATGAAAACAGAATTTATTCAATTTAACGGAGTTAGAAGTTAACAGGAAGTTAGCTCGCTAGTTTACACCTAAACATTTCATACCATGTTCTGACTGAGAGATTTTTGAAACTAATTAAAACGTACAGCTCTGCTACCACTTCCAACATAAATGAAGACAGAAAACTAAACAGCAGTGACGTTTGCAGGATTACTGAAGTTGGACTACCTGGTATATAATGTTGTGCTACGTGATTGCTAGCGACACAGCTATGTTAGCATAACATTAGCACAGTGAAGCTGGAGGATGAACGCCAACTTTTTTTCCACTCGATAAAAGTTAACGTGAGGGATTCTGGTGGTCAGGGACAAATGCAGTCGCATAGCAGGATGCTATACACGGGCCAAACTAAAGTCAGGAGAACAACTGAGATTATGCATCCACAATACGAGGTTAATTAATATACTGCAACAACATGGGAATAGAACAGCTGCGAGAGAATTCAACATTAATGAATCAATGTTACGGAAGTGGAGGAAGCGCAGTTTTTGGCTTTCCCCATATTTCAAAAGTGCTTCATCTCTTTGCTATGACTGTCGGCATATTGTGCAGATGATAATGGTTGTAGCCACTGCGATGCTTTCGACCAAAACAGGCGCAGCTTGATGACATCATCAACATGCGCTATCGCGATAGAGTGATACAGTCAAAATCTCTATCGTTGGCCAAATTTATATCGTTTCTATCGTATATCGTTTTTATCGCCCACCCCTACTCAACAGTGCCTCCTGCAGTTCTTCTAGAGTTGAGTTTGTTCTGAAACCTTTGGCAAATTATTAACAAACTCCTCCGTCTTCTATGCATTTCACAGATAATTTGAAAACGTTAACAGACAAGAGCTCCCTCTGCTCTTAGCCCTGGCAGAACAGTCGAAGCAGTTTTGTGCCTCAACTTTGCCGATTTGCATTGTCTTTGCTGGTCATTATGTGACAACTGCTGCAGCAATACATCATTGCCAATAGTTGGCAAATTGGACAGGATGATCTTTCACAAAACAACTCCCCTCTCAACTAGGCTATTCACCTTGTCTATAGAATCCAGAAACATGACAACCGCATAATTTCTCCTAGACCCTGCCTTCATGCTGTCACATTCGACAAGTTCCCCTACAGCCAAACAACACTTCTCAACCGAGTAATTCAATGGGTATTTTAATACCATGCTGACAGGAAAGGCTCCAAAAGCCTTCAGAACCACATATCATTCCCGCTATCGTACCCAGCTAAGTGCTATATGCTGCTGAAAAAAACACCAAAAACACGCCAGTGAAACAAAGTTGTGTGAACAGAGCTAAAATGTGAATCACCACTGTAAAAAGTAAAGTTCAAACCTTTAGAAAACCTCACACTCATTCTCCTCTCCACACATGCAGCAGACGCTCATGCATGCACACCCAAAAGAAAGACGGACGGACAGACAGAACATGTTCTGTTCAGTATGACTTGAATCTGCTTTAACTCATCAGGAAAGTGTTCACTGACATCACTGATCAAGGGGAAGTTATTCTCCCAAACTCTGCTATACAGCTGGATTCTGCAACCACAGGAGTCACCCCCTGCTGGCCATTAAAAAGAACTAAGGCGCTTCAGTATTGTCTACTCTTTTTAGAGCCAGAAGCTACATCCATCTTTTATTTCGTTTATGATAACGGCAATCCACAGATTCAATGTGGTCATCTCTCTTATGTAAGCAAAGCATGTCTGGTCGAAGGTTTCAATAAAATATGGAAGCATAACAGAACCCAGCATATTCACATCACTAAGTGAGCCCCCAGCAGCAGAGGACATTGATTGCAGCTTAATCCATCCCATTGTGAGTTGCTTTTAAAACTGGTTTATTGTTTTTTACAACACAAAGACAAAACCATCAAGATTACGAAGCAAGCATGGAAAAGGAAGAAACCCTTAAGCTCTCTATAAATTACCCCTTTAGTTCCCTTAATTTATTTTCATCAACACCAAAGCTTCATATGCCCTAATACATGATACATGTGTAGCAGCTAGTCAGTAGCAATATTTAAAATGCATGCTCATCAAATGCACTCCAAATCGTGACACGGGAGATTAGTTTGTGGCCATAAAGGTTGTATATATAAATGTAGCACAGTATTCCGTCACAGGAGGATCAAATATTCTCGTAAGGTCATCCAGTGAGAGAATCTGCCAAATCGAACATGTGGCGCTACCTGCCTCAAACCCTTGTGAATAAGCGAGCAGCTGAATGTAACCTCAGCGCAATGTAAGACTGAAAGCAGTGTGTGTTTATTTCATCGTGTTAGGGTTTGGTACAGCTTTAAGAAATGATGATGATTTCTACAAATTAGAAAGCGCTGTTCTTTTTTCACAACAACGCAATAAATGTTTTAATGTTTTTTTTAAACACCAAAATCGATAAATAATCATCACAAAAGATTACGCTGTCAATATTGAACAAAATGAGTGTGATTATAGTTTTGCCAAGGACTGTGCAGCCCTAGCTTGTTGCACAAAAACGGAAGTGATTTGTGTCACTTGAAAGGTTGCCTTCAGTTGACACCTACGGTTTCCCACAGTTACTTTTTTTCTAACCATTACCTCGGTCACTCTTCTTTGATTGTGTCCTGACAAAGACGTGCCAGGAAGTGGATGTTGGGGACATTTCGGTCAGCGATATTGTTGATTCCCCTTCTCCCAAGATTTTCCTCTTCCATCAGTTTTTTTTCCTGGTCTCCCGTTGTACTCTCAGCCTGCTGCGATCCCCCTCTTTTCTTTTCTTTTTTTGCCTTGTTGTCTCCTTAACTGGACTCCCCCAGGCCTGATTCTTTGGCTCAGTGGGGCTGTTGCTTGGCCGCTTTCTTTCTGTGGGCACACAAGGACTCCTGGATTCAGAGCTGACATTGATTTTCCTTTTCTTTGGCAATTTGAACCATGAAGAAAATGCAGACTCTTAGTAGTAGTAGTATGTTTTTTTTGTTTTTTTGTTTTGTTTTTTTAAATGAGATCATTTAGATAAATGGGAGTAAGTCTGGGACAGATGAAGACTATTCCTGTCTTGAATTCTTTAACTCATTTAACTCGATGCTTTCAGGAAGCACAAGCAAGTCAATATTGTCTTTTTGCTCATTCTGCTGCAGTTTTTCCTTCTGTTAACTTGCATTTCCTTCTTGAGCTTTCCAGAAACAGCAAAACAACCAGGGTTTCGTTAGCCGCTGTTTCTGCAAAGAGCAGAGCAAAAAGTGTGGACTACAGCAGATGTTCAGGCAGGACCAGCACTACGGGGAAGTGGCTGAGGGGGCAGTTAAAAATGGTGATGGGGCAAATTTTATCCTGCTGTGCCTATTTTTACCTTTTCTTTATTAATCACCTAGAGATATAATGGCATGTTTGACTCAATTTACCCTGGTTTATCTTCCATTATTACTTAAATTCCCATACAGAAAAGAAATAGTAAAAACTTATATGTGATTACTCATGAAAGTGGCCACTTTCATGAGGCTTACATGATTTACTCATGAAAGTGGCCACTTTCGCATTACTTTCATACATTGTTTTAGTAAGTATCCAAAACATACAAGTTTCATTATATAATTTTTCAAGGGATCTTATATCTGTTTTCACACTTATATGCTTTTCATACAAGTTTCACACAAGACAGATACAAACTTTATAAGATTTACTGTATATCTATTCCATATGGGTTAGTACCATTTATAAAATGATTTCCATGTTTTATGCAGTATGACTTGAAACTAGAGATTCTAGCCCAGAAAAATCATCAGGGATATGTTCATGCAGGTCATACAATAGAGAGCTAAAGGTCGTTCTATACAGCTGGATTTGGGTTTTTTTGCGACCCGGGGAATTGCATCCAGCTGGGTATTAAATACAATACTGTTAATATTGTGAATTGAATGAAATTAGCCAATTCATTTATTTTGCATTAGCTCAAAAAGAATCTGTACAGCCATGAAGAGCAGCCAAAGCAGAAACATAGATGCGTTCTGTCTTCTGACACTCCCTTCAAGCACAGCGTTATGTCCAAATTCCTCGACGACATTAATCCGTATCAGGATAGCGTCACACGGTTGGTGCAGACTTGTCAGGTGCATCCGTACGTGAATCATAGAATCATACATGTGGTGACTATGGTCACCAAATTTTTGTCATTTAATTTTTTTGTAATTGTTCATTTAGTTTAGCATGAATCCCCTTGAAAAAGAATAGTTTTTCCGTTTTTGTTTTTCATGTTTTTTGAAGAAAAAAAAAAGCTTGCCAAAAAATACTTAAACTTTAAAAATGTATGTTGTTCTTTGTCCTTCCAGTGGGCCAGATTAGAGTCTTTGCTGGGCTGATTATGCCATATTTGACACCCCTGCTGTATACCATAGAGATGGCTGTGTGGGGAAAATCTTAGTAGATCAGCAGTTTCTGAAATACTCCGTCACCAACACATCTGGCACCAACAACCATCCCAAATTCAGAGTTACGTGAATTGCTACCATGTTACTGATTGATTAGATATTTGTGTTAACAAGCAGTCAAACAGGTGTACCTAACAAAGTGACAGTGACTGTATAAGGGCTTTGACTTGACCACTGTTCAGGCAAATTAGCTCGGCTGACTCCAGTCAGTTCACTGTTGAGATTTTGCAGATCATTGTCATTTTGTAGAATTTGAAACCGCTGCAGCTGTGCTGTGATCACCGTTTCACACATCAAAGACTGTGTAGCAAGGGAAAAAATTAAAAGGCTGTAAATTGACTTCAGTGTGGTGTGACTCGTGTCTGTTTGTGTCAGCAATTAAGTCACTTCAGTTTACATTTTTAATGTTGCCTCCACGTGTTCTGGCCTGAAAAATACAGAATTGGGAAAAAGAAGTGGTTTCAGTGGAAGTAGAGAGTCTGCTGAGACTGACTGCACATCCAGATGAACAGAATCAACCTTTTGGGTCATTACTGTTTATTGTACCTTTCTAGCTACTCTTAAATCTGCTACATTGGATTGGTTGCGCTGAACAAGTCCCTGATGTGAAATGTGCCCTAGCCATTATCCTTACTTGACCTTGTTATTTAGCACCAGACCTCGCTGAAAATGGAAAGAAAGTCTGAATACTGGGTCTTAATTTCTCAGTTAAAGAAAAAAAGGAGGGGTGGCACCATATATAAAGGATGGATTTAACCTCCGGATACACAATATGAACCCAATGAATGCCGTAAATGGGGAAAATGACCCTATTTGTCGCATGATTTATGGCCTCTGTAAACATTTCTTCTAATGACTTTATAGCCTGAGTCAGAAGTTTCAAGTTCTCTTTAATACTTCAGTAAGATGATGTTCATTTGGTAAATGATGCTCCCATTATAGTCTAATGGACAATAGAACAGGGAGTGCTTTAGGATGAGGTTATTTTGTGATTGACAAAGTACTGCTATTATAGTCATACAATGTTCCTGGAGTTATAATTCAGGTCCACCCCTCACCCAGCATGTCCAGTCTTGTGAAAAAAAACCAATGCCAAACCTGAGGCTTTAAAATAGCCGCCCACTAGCCAGTGTGTCACGCCACAGTGACGGCCATCCATCTCTTAAATAGTCTATGGTTGTTAGTTAGAGAGAGACATAACAGAAGACACCGTCAGCAACTTGGGGTTTTTCCATGTCTGGTATTGCATCAGTGTTTCCTTGTGTGTTTTTAGTAGTTTGCGACTTGAATGTAAACTTAGGACAGGTGAGTTAAAATGACCGAAATCTGCTCTGATATTTAGTAGTTTCAGTACAACAGAATGGAGACTAGCGGGGGACTGTTGTGACATGAGTGCAAATGAACTGGGCGAATAATATAAATCCATTTCCTTCACTTCCACTGTATTTATTTTAGTTTTGTTGTTACAGCCATTTTATTTGATCTTGAATGCATTTGTTGTTTTTTATTTTAAAAAGTTGTGAAACTCTTGTTTAAATGATCAATTGGGCTGCCTCCATAGAAATTCCGTCTGTTTTTATTTAAAGGCCTCACTTAACTTGTGCATTTTTTATAGATGTACTCGAGGCTGGTGCAACACACATCTGACTTACTTGTTAATAATTTGTTTTAAGAAACTGCCATGGTTTGTTTCTTTTCCCCTAAAGCCTAAATGAGCATTTAAGTTTTTGTCAAGTCAAAAATTACATTGAGTTTACTTGAAAAATGATAAACTGTCCATGTTAAAAAGCTGAAGATGTGTATTTCTGGCATTCTGTGTGTTCTCGCATGCAGGGGTCAGAAATCACCCAACAGCTATTTTTATACAGCAGGTGGGGGGACCCCTGAGGCATGCCTACAGTGGAAATTTACCTGCCCCCCAATGTCTGTGTCTGGGGATTTAAGATTGGCACGTGACAGATAAGAGCAGTGATCCTCCTCCCGTGTCTGTGCACTCACACAGAGAGTATGCACCACGGTGCGTTTGCATGTGCTAAACTCTGCTAAGCCTCGGCCGTGGAGAAGAAGAGCACATTTCCTCTTTCCAGAAATATCTTCATTGCTGTAAGAAGAATCAAATAATCAGATTAGCTAAGGCCATGCAAACTAAGCTGAATCCCTTGATTGTGTTTACTACCAACTAAAACAAAAAGACAAGCTCCTTCTCACACTGGGCTGGACTCAGTCTGGGGTAGATGGCCCCCTCCTCCTGCTCCTCTCGCCCCAGGCCGTATGGAGGAGCTTTAATGGCTGCTGTTGTTTCACACTAAGAGCCAATCTGGCTGTGCTCCTGGAGCCATCAGACGGGCTGTTAGCACACAAACAACAGCATCACTCCAGCTATCAGCTGCAGTAAAAACAGTGTGGGACCTCCTGTGGTTCAGGATGATCCTAGCCCCCCCACATCCTTGTTGATGCTGGTGCAGATTAGACTGTCGGCATGCGAGGAGACTGTTTGTCACAAGCTCTGGCTAAGATCGGGCTCCGGGGCAGAATTTCTCGGATTTTTGACAGGCGTCGTGTCGCCTCCCTCTGTTCTATACAACAGAAGAGAGGAGCTGCCGTCTGGATGGAGCCCAGGCAATGCCAGGGAGGACAAAAGAAAGACAAGATTTTTTTGTGTATGTTAATTCTTTTCCCTCTTCTTTTTTCAGTCCTGCCGTCTGCTTCTCTGTCCCCCTGTTTCCCTCCAGAGCTTCACCCCACAGTGTTCCCTTCCCGAAAGTCAACCGTTGTAAGCCCTGCCCACAGACTTGGAGTCACGTTTTACACAACACCCCTCACAACAATAACCCGTGATGTTTTTATCTCAGTAAATCAGTCTGATTGGAAGGCACCATTGATCCATTCCAGTGCTCCTGAGCTTTTTCATCAGGCATTCTTTATGGAAAAGGCAACGATGGATACAGTTCAAAAAGATCAAAAAGTCTGAAATAAACATTTAAGGAAAATGATATCCTAAAATGCATTTACATTCATTTTTTAAAATAATTTTTTTACATTTTTTTTAAGTCGTTGTGGTTTTATTGTTGCTTGCTTATTTTTGTTTTGGCCCATTATTAAGTGCTTAATTTATTTGAGAATATAGTTATTTGGGCCAAGGCCAAGAATAATGCTGGTCATCTTCTACTCTTGCATTAGCAACTTCAAAGTAGCTTCAGAGCTAGTCTAAGACAGCCATCCTACTTCCACAGTATAAAAGGTCCGGTGGCTACTGTGACATCACTCATGTCACCTTTGTGATTGGATCAGACTGAAAACACAAGCTCATTGGCTAAAGGAATTCGAAGTCATTAGCCAATTGTTTATTTCCGAATCTTATTCTCTGACACTGAGGGGAAAAAATCTGTTTGCATTTTAATCAGTGTAATCTGTACAAGTAACAAGTAACTGAAACCATAAATGTTTAGAGAGGTCTGGGCACTTTTGCAGCTACAGCTATTGCTCCCTGGTGGCCATTTAAGAGAATGCAGGTCTAATGGTGCAGACGACAGTCAGGACATGTTCCCCGACCCAAAGGCGCAGGGAACAAACGCTCTTGTCCACTGGAAAAACTCCAACGTACAGGCAGCAAGGCGAGGGGATACTAAGATGCCTACCTCAGCCTGCCGCCTCTCGCCAAGGGCAACTCTAGACTAAGGGAGTCCAGCTCCTCTCCAGGGTTCTGGAGCCCTTTGCGTTGAGCTGGTACCTCTCAACCTCACGCGGTGGATCGGGTCCTTCCCCACCAGAGAGGTGACATTCCATTTCCCAATCGTTAGTCTCGGTAGCTGGTGATTGGCCCAACAGGGTCTCTGCCCCCGGCCGCCGCATGGGCCCACCCTACAGGTAGTAGCCCCATGTCCCATGGTCTCCAGGCGCTCGCCCTCGGGCACCCTCCCTGAGCCTGGTTCCAGGGTGGGGCCCTGGTAACCCTATCCTGGGCAGGGTGAATTGTTCCCTAGATCTTATACTCACAGGGGTTTTTGAATCCTCTCTTTGTCTGGTCCATCACCTGAAACCAGTTTGCCATGGGAGGCTGTACGAGGGAGCAAAAGCCCCCTGGCAACATGAGATTCCTGGGACACACAAGCCCCTCCACCATGTGAAGGTAGCGGATGTATGGATGGAAGGAACGTTTAGTATTTCCAAACAAAAATTGCTGCACTACATGTATTACAAATAAAGAAAACGTATCATGACAGTACCCGTAGATCTCCATCAAATACCATATCCCATCAGTATGACTACATATAAATTATTACCTATAAAGAATATTCAACTGAAAATAATTTATGTTCTGTGGTAAACAGGCAAATGAGATACAATCGCTAAGACTGTTTGAAAAATCCATGCAGCTGAGGGTCTTCTTTGTTCTGGAGAGCTTTCAGTACACCGGAAGAAACACTGCAAAGGAGAGGTAGAAATGACTGAAAAGTCTTAAAAATGATCCAAAAAGATTCAGTTTAATGTCATTTGGGCAAAGAAAGAGGGTATGTAACTAGTACTAATGGCTTATTTATTGACTTTTTTGAAAAGGTTTTGCATTTGATGTTTAAAATGGCACAGGAGTCCTTGTTGCTTAAAAAGACGAGCTGCTGCACTGCTGAACCCACGCATGCACAGGAAGTGATGTAGTATTTAGCCTCAAATTAAAGAAATAGACAACCTCACACTCCTGTGCAGGTTGATCGACAGAGGAGACATGGTTTCAGAGCGCTGGCAACCGAAAAACCTTGTGAATTTCAACTGTAGCAATGACAGTAATGAGAAGCTCTGTCTGCTGCGTGATTGACAGCTCAGTCTGTAGCTTTTGCTGTTTGATATTCAGATGCTTTTGGTTGAGCAGCTCAGAGGAAATCTTCACTCTTTCTGTTCATTTCTGTTAAAAAAATATTATTCTTTAGTATCTTATAAGATTGTCTGAATATTAGTAATTGTTCCAGTCCTGTCATACAGCTGCTGTCATCTCATAGCTATTTTTATTTCTGCAGACTGGATCTTCCCCGGATGGTTCCTGTTGACTTCGACTGAAGAGCCTCTCCGTCACTTCTCATCACTTTACCCCACACAGGGATTTACATTAGCCAATCTGGTGAGGAATCTTTTTAATTAATTATATTTTTTGGCCTGTAAAACACCCCCTCAGTGAGTGTGTGTGGACCTGCATAGAGTCTCTGAAGAAAACGACTGAATAGTTGGTGTAAAATCAGCTGTGTGGGGACATAATAGGATTCAGTTTATATCTGATGAGATGCAGAGAAATCTTCAGAGACCAGATTCACAAATTCTTGGATGTAATCCAGAGATGAGCTGCTTGGAACTGGTGAATGTATTGTTTTGGCTCTTTGTTGATTCCTGTGCGTGTGCGTTTACGTGACTGGTTTTGTGATATTTTTTTTTCTGTTGTCTTGTTTGTGTGACATGACAGGAAATCTAAAATGTTCAGCAGCAGCAGCAGCTGTGGTGCTTTACCCAGCAAACACCTCTAGAACATGTTGTCCCACATCACAAAGGTCATTGCATAATTATGTTGTGTAAATTAGCATCCAAGGTATTTATCCCCTGTGGCTGTCACATGGTGTTATTTTTCTTCTTCTTCCTCTTAATAGAGCTGCAGTGGAAATTATTTATGTGTGCTTGAAGCAGTTTGGGTACAAATTTAGCTCAGAGGAGCAGCTCTCTGAGGAAGCTTCCCATACGATCGATGCTGCACTGTTATATGATTTTCTGTAGCATCGGACTTGCTAAATGGAAGCATCACAGCACTTTGTTTTTTTTTTTTATTTTAATGTGCCAGACTTATAACAAGTAATGTCTTTGTAGATGTTACTCAGATGTTTGCAGTTTTAGAGGTGGCCGACTAGTAGGGCTGGGCGATATGACCCAAAATTCATATCTCGATATTTTTTAGCTGGATGGCGATATAAGATATATATCTCGATATATTTTTTTAAGCCCATAAAGTAAGAACAAAAAGAGAGTTCTTAGTCAAAGCTGTGTCCCAGATGTCACACAGGCACTTTTATTAACATACAGCACAGATGTACATGAAAAATTACTCAAAATTAAATTATGAGCATTCATTAAATAATAATGCTCCATAAATAAAAGAAAACAAGGTTGTTTTTGTGCTAAACAAAGAGCTCACAATTGTGCAGTCAAAATGTAAACTAAAAGACGCTGAGCGTAATAACAAAGACAGACAGATTTCACAGCTGCTCTGTTCCCAAGTTTTACTGTGTGACTGACAGCCTGGAGTTTGAAATCCGCTTCATAACCACGTCTCTTACAGGTGCCATTTATGGTCCTTATACACACAAAATACGGTAATATTACGTTGATGCACAGTACGTATCACTCCACGAAGCTCCTCGGTAGCCGTAATGCGCCGACAATCTATCAAGCGGTGCAGCTCCGTAGCTTACCAAAGTCGTACTCAAACATTTTTGACAGGTTGCTGAGCGCCGTGTACCACATAAAATCGGTTCGCGGCCATCAAGCACAACCAGAATTCATACATAAGGCGCGCTATCAACGTTTGAGAGAATGAAAGGATTTTAGGGTTAGCGCTGTTAGCTCGTTAGCGCGGTTAGCTCGTTAGCATGTTTAGCTCGTTAGCACGTTGACGCCGTCCAGCCCCACGCATGGGGCGATGCGCAGTAACTCGTTAACGGAGATTTGCCGTGTCCGTCTTGTCGCTGCCTGCACGTGAAGCGATGGGGGAGGAGGGGGAGTTGTCTTCAGTGAAGGCGAGGCGGAGTAACGTTGTGTAGAGACAAAAGTGGACGAAAGAGAGGCAAACTTGCGGCTCCACAACTATAATTATAACGTAACATAGACTATATCGATATAAAGGATATTGTCACATCTTATATCTCGTATAAAAATATATCGATATGTTTTAAAAACTCGATATATCGCCCAGCTCTACCGACTAGTGTGTTTAATTAAAAACGGCAGCTTTTGAATCAGGGGCCGTTCGGACTGGGTGATGAATCAGATTTGAATTAAAATTAAAATAAATTACAATTTTGGCTTGGAGCAGTTTTAGGTTAAATGCTGTTAGGTCTGTGGATAACACAAACTGTAGACATCTTGAATCTTTACATTTAAAACTTGCATTTAAAGCTGCATTTCCTCCAAAAAGTAACAGAGGCAGCATCTGCCTACAAGGGTTCGAGTCTAGCTTTACAAAAGCAACAGTCACCAGCATAGAAAAAACTACAAATGGAAGATTTCAACTAGTGCAACTGCTGTAATAGCTCTGTCCTGTTTGGAAAGAAAAGCAAAGTAAGTTGTACAAGTACTTTGCATTCAAAAACTCCACAGCTGTGGTTTTGCTTCAACATCTCTACGTGGCCTCTTAGCACAGGTCAGTTGCATCCAGTGTCCCACAGGCTAATTAAGCCCCACCAGGAGTCCTTCTAGTGCTTGATGGCTCCCTTCACTTCCAGTGTCCACCAACCCATTCAGGGATTACCACCATGACAGCTACCTTGAGGTTTGGAAACAGGGTCCATGTCTAGAGGCTGATGTCACCAGCTTTCCTCAGAATACTGTTGAAGTTGGGATTAACAATCCTATGGATCCCAGCCTCTGCCAGATTTTTCTACCTTCTCTGTATGTTTTGGGTGTCCCCGCCCAACTGCTCACCAGCTGGTCATCAGGAGCTCAGCTCCTCTCTTCACCTAAATGTCCAGAACACACAGCCACAGGTCTATTACAGAATCAATCATCGACCTGCAACTGAGTGTCCTGATGCCACTCTGCTGTGCGCTAAAGAATGCATTTGTGTTCAGACATGGTGTTAATCAAGGACAGAGAAGTCCAATGATACAACACTGCTCAGGTTCAGATCAGGCAAGCCGTTCCTCTAGAACAGGAGTGGGGAACTCCAGGCCTCGAGGGCCGGTATCCTGCAGATTTTAGATCTCACCCTGGGTCAACACACCTGAAATGATTAGGTCATTCCCAGACCTCTGGAGAACTTCAAGACATGTTGAGGAGGTCATTTAGCCATTTAAATCAGTTGTGTTAGATCAAGGACACATCTAAAACCTGCAGGACACCGACCCTCGAGGCCTGGAGCTCGACACCCCTGCTCTAGATGACTCACCTCCAGCCCTCACTGTCGTTTCCCACATGAGCATTGAAATATCCCAGTAGGACAATGGAGCTGCCAGGTAGAGCACCTTCCAGCACTGCAGCCAGCAACTTCAACAAGGCTGAGTACTTTGTATTATTAAACTGCAATCTGGATGCCTTCCATGAGCCACAGTTGCATTAAAGCAATGCTCTTGTCCACTTGAAAAAAAACCCCCAATTTTCAGGCACAAGAATATCTTCCTCTGCCAGCCACGTCTCGCCAAAGACAACACAGCCCAAGCTGAGTATGAAATCAGGACTCGCTAAGGCTCCTCCCACAACAAAGACAAAAGAGAGATCATCAGTTACACAAAAGTGTCATAATCCTATTTCCCACCAAACGGTTAATGGCAGCAGCAAAATAATAAGATGTTGGCTATCCCAGTGGTCTGAAACTATACAACCATACCTCATGCTCGTAGCCTGACAGTCCCGATTGGACAGAGTAGTTAAATGTGGTGTGTTTCAGTGGGTTTTTTTTCACATTAATTAGATAGCAATAATTAAATATTAAAATGCTATTAAAAGTTCTTAAATGAAACTGCTGGACACCAGTTTAGAAGCTGTAACTCTAAATGTTAAGAAAAAATCATTAGCACCACTAATCAGTTACTTGAGTAGTCTACAGTGCCCTGACTTAATAATGCTAGACTGCACCACAGGACAACCACCTGCTGTCTGACACCAGATTACCTTTCAGGTGGTAAATATCTCAAATCTCTCTCGCCTGTTAATGAAACAGGCAGCAGCTGCAGTAGCCTGTTGGCTATCGTGAATGATAGCCAACACACACACAGTTTACTGTCTGGTTAGGCAGATTTACATCACCAAGTTAGACCTGAGCACTGATGCACTGTTATCATATCTAAAAGACCTCATAGTACAATACAGGGAGTGCAGAATTATTAGGCAAGTTGTATTTTTGAGGAATAATTTTATTATTGAACAACAACCATGTTCTCAATGAACCCAAAAGACTCATTAATATCAAAGCTGAATGTTTTTGGAAGTAGTTTTTAGTTTGTTTTTAGTTTTAGCTATTTTAGGGGGATATCTGTGTGTGCAGGTGACTATTACTGTGCATAATTATTAGGCAACTTAACAAAAAACAAATATATACCCATTTCAATTATTTATTTTTACCAGTGAAACCAATATAACATCTCCACATTCACAAATATACATTTCTGACATTCAAAAACAAAACAAAAACAAATCAGCGACCAATATAGCCACCTTTCTTTGCAAGGACACTCAAAAGCCTGCCATCCATGGATCTGTCAGTGTTTTGATCTGTTCACCATCAACATTGCGTGCAGCAGCAACCACAGCCTCCCAGACACTGTTCAGAGAGGTGTACTGTTTTCCCTCCTTGTAAATCTCACATTTGATGATGGACCACAGGTTCTCAATGGGGTTCAGATCAGGTGAACAAGGAGGCCATGTCATTAGTTTTTCTTCTTTTATACCCTTTCTTGCCAGCCACGCTGTGGAGTACTTGGACGCGTGTGATGGAGCATTGTCCTGCATGAAAATCATGTTTTTCTTGAAGGATGCAGACTTCTTCCTGTACCACTGCTTGAAGAAGGTGTCTTCCAGAAACTGGCAGTAGGACTGGGAGTTGAGCTTGACTCCATCCTCAACCCGAAAAGGCCCCACAAGCTCATCTTTGATGATACCAGCCCAAACCAGTACTCCACCTCCACCTTGCTGGCGTCTGAGTCGGACTGGAGCTCTCTGCCCTTTACCAATCCAGCCACGGGCCCATCCATCTGGCCCATCAAGACTCACTCTCATTTCATCAGTCCATAAAACCTTAGAAAAACCAGTCTTGAGATATTTCTTGGCCCAGTCTTGACGTTTCAGCTTGTGTGTCTTGTTCAGTGGTGGTCGTCTTTCAGCCTTTCTTACCTTGGCCATGTCTCTGAGTATTGCACACCTTGTGCT